CATGGCCCCCAGCCCCCTCGGCCGGAACAGCATCAAGCCTGACACCCAGGCTGCAGCCAGGGGGGGGCGGGGGGTCCGGTTCTGCCACAGACCCTCGCTGAGCAACAGCCAGCTACGAGCCCAGGACAGCCACCCTCCGCCTTCTCCCAGCCTGCTGCGTTCGCCTCTTCACACGGCAAACTCCTGCGTCTTCCCCAACCCCTCTCCGCTGCTCTCAGCCCTCCCAGACGCCTCGGATGTCACCAGCACTCACCGACGTATGAACATCCAAATTCTGAACCTGCTGCTCGAATTTATCCATCACCGCAGACACCTTCTGCAGGTCCATGGAGCTGAGAGCCTTGTCCAAGGCCTTGGTCACCTGGGCCATGTTTTTCGTCACCTGCAAGAGGAGGTTGCTTCACAGATGCTCCCCAAAAGCAAGGTACAGTAATGATGAGAGTAAAACCCAAGCCAGTGAGAGAGATGCCAGCATTCCCGATGCTCGCAGCAGCACTGTGAGGCAGGACCGGGATGTCGGAGCTGCAGGTTTCTCCAGCCACGTGCAGTCACCCAAGACCTCAGAGCAGTGCTCCTGGCAGAGTGGATCCCAGCTCACCCCCCTCCTACACACCACGAGGCAAGAGGCTCCAGGCACAAGCCTCTCCCTCTGTGCAGCCACAGGTTAAGGATTTAATCCCAGTCCCTGATGCCCCACTGCAAGGCCTTCCCAGATGGGCTCTCCACAGGCTGCAGCAGAGCAAGGGGGTCTGACCTAACTGAGGATGGTCCTTTCTGGGAACAGGAAAGTCCGAGGCAGCCAGGGAAGAGCCAACTCTCTGCACAGGCCGCCCTCAAAGTCCCCCGCCCACGCAGAGGCTCTTACCCCCTTCATTGTCACGGCTGTCTGGACCTTGGAGGCCACCGCATCCACCCGGGAAGACATGCGGAGCCAGTTAAGCCCCTCGTTCTTCTTGCGGATGGCATTCTCCGCATAAACACGAGCGCACTCCACGTTCTTCTGCTGAAGGGCCTGGAAGGGCAAAGGGCAACCGCTTGCACCGAGAACCCACTGCAGGTTTATAAACAAACACGCTCTGTTTCTGCTTGACAGGTCCCCAGCAGGAAACTGTCTTCCTGTGACCCTCTAAACTCCGAGCACGCCCTTAAAGGGAATTACATCCCTCGCCACAGGGATGCGCCACATACACAGATCCAAGAGCGGAGGCTGTGACTCCAAACACTTGGAGGCGGAGCTGGCGACCGCACCAAGGTCTGTGGAGGGGATCCTGCCCCCGTCCCTGGTCCCTCGGGAGACTATAGCACAGTGCAAGGGCTGGCAGTGCCGGTCCGGCAGCTCCACGCACGGGACGAGTTCCCACCCACCTTTTTGACTTTGGCTTGCTCGGCCTGGGAGTCTTTCTCAGCTTTCTTGGCGAGCTTCTCCAGCTGCTTCGCTGTGAACTGCAGAGACAGCAAGGGGTTAGAGCCAGGATAGGGCGGCACAGAAGCAGGGACCCACGGCGAGCATGAGCCCCAGCCATCTCCCTTACCCAGCAACGCCGGCCACGGCTGCTCGGAACCTCTGGCCGCGGGGTTAGCGGGCCAGGGAGATCGACCCCTCCCGAGGACCGGAGGCTCCCTGAGCACCCGGCAAACCGGACAGTCCATTTTCCCTACTTTTGAGAAGGGGAAGGCCCGGAAGAGCCGCCCCGGAGGACAAACC